ACTACTCATACTAGTGTAATGTTGTTCTAGGGCACTGTTTGTGGATGTAATGCAGGTACAGTGCATGATGGATGTTTCATTCAGCAGCTTTATGGTCCCTGTATGTTTTTTCTACCAGATGCCTACCTCTGATGTACCTGTACTCTGCCAGGCTGGTGATGCTGAGCAGATTTCCACCTTGCGCCTGGCAGGTTGACAGCGCCTGACTCCAGGTTAGGATGGTGTACAGGTTGAACTGGTAACATGCTCGCAGCTCGTGGTTTGACTCCCAGAAATGCTCACAACTGGAATCTGTGAATAAAGTCACAAATTAAAAAAGGCAGCAGGAAGCTGAGAAGGTGACACGAGTCGGTACGCACACGTCTCCTGGTGTGGGTAGTAGTCTTTGCATCAAGGTGACATTAATGTGAGCATCGAGCAACAATGGCCAGTTGAGTCAGATAAAAAAGGCAAGAATTTCACTATTGTTTGTTTAAGCAAAAAAACATTTAATTATGGACCTTCATCATTCGTGGGAGCATTACAATTATAGTGATTTTAGAGTGGAAAACTGACTTTTTCTATGTTGACTGTGGGTCAAGGTTGCTTTCTTAGACAAGTAACTTTACTGAAGAATATTAAAGTTAAATATTCTTTAACATTTAAAATAATTTCACATATACATTGTTCAGTTCTACTTGACATTACTGAGAGCTTCTTCTTCTCTCTTACTCTGTGCTGCTTGCCACAGTAGAGTAAATCACAGTGCACTCTGCTGGATAAACACAAGCATTTTTTCTGTATTTTCTACAACAGTTTTCTTATTGGCACATATCAAATAAAACCAATACTGATATGATACTGATATGATAGCGATAGGCCAGTAATGTAGTGTATTTACTCAAGTTTCATATTCTGGTGTGTTTGTGTCCAGTTTTACCTTGCATGGGACAGAAGCCCCATTTTTCGGCCTCATCATAGCGAGTGGTGGTCGCACACCACGGGAGATGGTCCTCACGACCCTCAGTCGTGCACTCAAAGTACCATTTGTTGTTATATCTAAAGGGAAAAGCGCAGGGCATGCCACGTGCATTTCCCAACAAAGTGTGGATATCTGCAAATAAAACACATCAAGTAAGATTTAAAATAACAAATGTCTAGTGCAGAAAAATATGCAGGATATTTTAGGTATTTACCTTCATAGGGATATGAGCAGGGCCCCTCCCTGGGGGTGTTGTACCTTTTCCACTCATGATAGGAGTTTTTCTTTACCACCACCAAACGTCCAGCCACAGCCACCTTCCACTGGGACGCTCCGTACAGCGTGTTTCCACTGCAACGCCACCACAGCACAGGGAGGGCCATGTCACACTCAAACGTGCCGAGGGGCTGCGTCGTGTCCGAGATGTTGAGGCCCAGGCACGTGCTGGTCCCCAAATTGAAGAGCCGATGTCGGGAAACCCACTTCCACAGCATGCGGCGTGTGGGCCGTTCGCAGTCCTCCAGCACCAGGTTAGAGCGATCCACTGTGATGCAGCGTTTCAGTGGCTCGCTCTCCAGGATGAACAGACCCTTTTCTGGAAAGAGATGGATGTGAAAAGACAAGGAGGAAGAAGATGAGATGAGATGAGCAGAAGTGGAGGAAATGAGAGGAGGGGGATGAGAGACATATGGGCGAAGAAATGAGTGGGTAACATAGCGGGGGAGGAGGGATAGATATGTCTAGCATGAGTGTTTCTCCACAGAAATGGAGCTGTATTGAAGCTAGATGAAGGCCTGAGAATACTTTTTGTCGTCCAACATAGACAAAGGTCTGGATAGGCCTACTCATAGCAAAACAGAGCATGTATACCGAATCTATACAAATGGCAGGGATGAAAAAAGCTGGAGGAATTATCTCTTCATTCATTGTCACTATTGCATAATGGAGAAGAAAAACAGTGTGTGTGTTACTAGATCTAAATGAAATGTTCACAATGCTTGTGTTGAATTTACATAGTTGGAAAGATTGTTTTAAACGGGCGTTGGTGTTACATATTATTGGCATATTCAGCCCCAGATAATCTTGAAGGGTCTATGTGACCAAAACTGCTCTATGTGGAAGTTATTTTCAGTGTTCAGATATTCTTCCTCTGTGTTTATATTAGCATGGACTATACCGTAACACTAATATACACACACACACAAGTTGAAAATGTGTATTGAGAGGGGGAAAGAAGGTGTAATGAGTATCCTGATGTTGAGATACACAAATAATTATTTTCATGTTTGACTAATCTAACTAATCTTTTCTCTTTTCTTGTGCTTGTTTTGTTCAACCAACAGTCAAAAACTAAAAAGTATTCAATTTACAATCATATTACAACTGTAATCATAAATAAATTGATTATCATAAGATTCATCTCAACTCTAATTCAACATGCAATGACATAAAACAGAGAAAATCAGCATATTTTCACATAATATCTGGAAACAGTGAATGTTTGACATTATACCTGTATTATTAAACTAATACATTTTCATCAATTTCCATTGATTACTGGTCAATTAATCATTCAAGCTATATTGCAAATAGTATC